CCTTCCTTCCTTCCTTCCTTCCTTCCTTCCTTCCTTCCTGTTGCATAATTCAAAATCACGGACACACATGTAATACAGGCAAAAGGTAAACAAACGAATCAAAATGTCAAGACAACGAGACTCATTTGTATCAGAAATGGTCACAGCTTCAGCTGTGTGCCCAAATTTTTCCTTAACTTCAGCCGTCAACCCAGGGACTAGTGTTCACGAAGTGGGTGGGTTTGGTACTGTTCCAGTGCAACACTTCTGGAACTGACAGATTAGCCAAGGGGATGTTCGAGTGTAGACCCAATGCCTGCCCATTCTTTGGAGAAGCTCCTTCTATGTCTCCCTTCCAGCAAGTACAATACGTAGTAGGAGCACAGTGAATTAGAAGCACACACACATACACAAACCCTGGATTGTGAGTATTGTAGTTGTCGAAGTGCAGAGGGTGTATGATTATCTGTGCTCCAGGGTAGCTGAAAACCAATGGTAGCTAAGAACATAATCTCAAAATGAGCAGTGTTGCTCACCAGGCCTCTAGCTTTAAGAAATGGTTACGGCATGCCAACTGTGTAACCAGTACAGTACTGTGGGGGTGTTTCCAAGAGAAAGCAATGATACAGATTGAATAGGACTAGCTGAAGCATCTCTGACATTCCACTCTTGAGACGTCTAGATGGAAGACAACCTTCCCCCATGAGAAAGCCATGCCCTTTGTGTCGATAAGTTCCCAGTGGAATCATATCTCAATCCTTTAGCTTTTAACAGTTGTTCCCAATCTTGAGTCCCCAGATGTTCTTACACTAGAACTCCCAGAAGACTTCATTAATGGTGCCGGCCAGGATTTCTGAGATTTGTAGTTCAAGAACACCCAGGGACTCAAGTTTGGGAGCCACTGGCCTATAACCTCTTAATCTAGTCTAAACTTTTCTCTTGTTTTCTCTTAAAATTCCTTGGGCGGTGCAAGTGAGAAGGAACTGTTTTTAAACATTTCTTTTGCAATTTGTTTCAAAGCCTGGTTGCTTCCGCTGTTCCTCATTTCAAACTGAACTACCTCACAGGGATAGAGCAGGAGGAGGAGAACCTATGGGCAAGCTTGTGCTCAGGGCAGGAAAGGTGGGATACAAATGCAGGAGCAAAACAAACATAAAATATTGAGCATTGACAAAAGCTTCGACATTGGTTCCACTTAATCCTAGAAATATTTCCTCCGCAAGGAGTTGTAGATTTTTCCCTTCAAAACAGTTATTTTCTGATGGGCCTGGCCCTATCATTTGACAGAGTGCATCAGTCACATGTAACAACACGTGCTGGGAATTCAAAGCCACTGACAATAATGGGGGCCAAATTATCTGTAGTGTCCGGCACCCACTACACTACTCACTTTAGCTGAAGGCAAGATAGATCTGTTTTTTCCCGTAGCTTTCTCATGTGTCATGGAAAAATCATGCAGGACTCTGGCTTATCTTTTGCCTCCAGCACAACAATGCCTTGGGGTGTTCTTGTTTTCCAACCTAGCACGAAAACCCTTCCAGGTTTGCTTTGGGCGAACGCTACCAGTCCCCCGCTGTTGACCAAAGAATCATGCAAACTAATTCACAAATGCTTAGTCCAGTTGTTGACTGATCAACATGCATCAGCAGGTCAATGAGATCGTGTTTTTCAGGCATGTGGTTAATACTCTTTGTGGATTTGCAGGTATGGATATTTACCTTGCCCACATAAGCTTTCAGACAGGATGTGCTGGAGATTATGCCAAGGAAAACGGAACACAAGCCAGGAAGAAGACCGTCAAGGTTGGTTGACTGTCCTACTTGACTTGCCTTGCAATGGTAAGACCCGATGGGCTTTCTTTTTTTGGAATCCATCGCACTGCTAGACAGTGAAGGACGGGTTCTACAAACTGCACAGAACAGAAAACATGTGTATGGAAAAGCACACATGTTTTAGAACCAACCCAA